ATGTTATTCTCGTATTCAAAATGTATCTACTTAAATGTCACAACACTATCTTTACAAAAAATAGAAGTGAAGAATAGGATGTGGGTGCAGTAAGAAAGACTCTCAGCCACTCCCGCATAGTTACTAGTGTGTTCTTCAAGCTTTTTAAAATTTATTATCGTTGCATTTCTCAGTCGATACTCTCGCCAAATTAGGAAAGTATTGCTTTAAAAAAAATTTCAATGTAGTTGATAACTTATAATTGCAATTGCAAGTATATTCATAGAATTTAAATAATGCTGTAATATAAACGTAAGTCTCAGTAAAAACCGATCACCTTTTGAGCTAAAATTTTTCATAGTCGGACTCAAGCAGAGTGATATAATCTGCTTCTCGTATGGTCGAAAAAATGAAAGTCAAAAACCAAAGTAAGCAAATACTTCTAAATAAACGTTTTCAATTGTGAAAAAACGTGATTGCAACTAAAAAAGTCAATAAAATTATGTAACAGTAAAATATCGTCAGATGGCACTATTGATTTTGTTTTTTGTTAAGTTATTTTAAGAACAAGTATTTTATTTGGTGATACTTTTAGTAAAAGTCTAAACTAGAAAATCTAGAAGATATTTTTAGAACTAATTATTTCCCTCAAAAATAAGGAAATAATCAATTGAAGCACCACGATTTGCCAATACTTTTCTAGTGCTTTGATCGATATCGATGCTAACTCTCATATATTTCATTTTATTTTAATGCCATAGATTAATTCATTTGACGAAATCTACCTGTTATTATGAAATTTTCATGAACAATAATAAGTAGAATAGAAAACAATCATTTTAGCATGTATTGTTCCCATCGTATGCTGACATTTAACATATCTTTTATCTTTCGTAAATTTTCTGATTTATTTTTTCTAAGTAGATGTTTCTTATAACTTTAATCGATAACAAATAACAATCGGTATTATAATACTCAATCTTTCTTGAACAGGAAAATGTTTCCAACATTTGATAATATATTTTAACTATGAATTAAATTTTTGTTTTTGGAAAATTGACTTTAAAAATATAGAAATATTTTTAAACTTTCATGATTTATCGATTGAATGTGAAATAATATTGAAAAATCTATTATGATTTTTAGAAAACAATAGATTATTCACAATGCATTTCTTACTAATATTTTAGAAAATAGTTCTCTGATTAATGGGCACATTGGATTCTCCTGTTCATCACATTGTTATTATTTATTTTTATTAGCATACTTTTCATTGATCTCTTGAAAAAGGATTCCAATTGAAGTTAAATATAAACATCTGGACATTGTGAAAGAGGAAAATAGCACGAACTATGATTACAGCGGCAATGACATAGAATATTATATAAAAGATAAGTTAGATGAACGCATATTGAAGCGTAGTCGGTTCTGCAAGAGCGAAGGAAATTTGATCGACCTAGTACATGATCAAGAAAGATATGCACATGCACAAAACAAGAAGAATCAATGAAATAACATAACATATGTGACTTAAATAAACATAAAAATATCCTTGTTTTGATAACAAATTTTTTAATCCATTCATGAAGTCCATGATCATTTTTTCAGACCGTATAGTTGCGTATAAACATTCAACTGATGGAAAGATATAACAAAGTTGCTCAATAGAATAATTAGAATCTGCATCAGTAGTATTATGATAACGGTCAAGTGTTCTTATGTTTTCAAAGCATAGCCATTGAGTATATCTGACAAAACTTTGTGTATTAATTTTAAGTGTTAAATATTGAAAATGAGGCATCTCTGTTAATAGACGCCAAGCTGTAGACATTTCTGTTGTGGAAGAGAATATTAAATGTTTCACTTTTTTGAAATCGATCATAGACAAAAGTTGATATCCTCATATTAATAGTTTAACGTCTGATGTTTCAACATGCGAAAATCGATATGGTTCAGTTTGAAGCGATTCTAACACTCTAAGATGAGTAAGATGATCATAATAGAGATTCTTATGAGTTATCTTTGAGTGAAACAATAGTTTGAAAGGAGTATTTGCTTGTCTATCAGCAAAGCAAGGTACTGAAAACAACGTTTGATTGTTGAAAGTTGCAAACCATCGTTTCTTTTGTAACTAAAATGAACTACGAAATGAATTCAGAATAATTTCTGTCAATACAGTTCTTATGAAGAAAAAGTTAAACTTAATCAAATGCTCTGTGAATTGTTGCCAACGATATCCATTGGTTAGATCATTTTGAACTTGAGCACGTAATTCTAAATGTCTTAGAGGAGGTGAATGCGCAATCAACACTTCCAAATTTTTCATTGTTATTTGAAAATGTATAATAATAGACTTTAATATATTCATTGTCGTACTTAACATGAAAAAGTTAGAGAATTTTCTACTTTTCAAAACTCTCGTCGATGATAAAAACTGGAAAATCTAATATCAATATAAATCTCGTAAATAAAGTTTATTGCTATCAAAGCAATATGATACTTTTTATTAATGTGCCAGTCTCAATTAATATTGAGTTGGTTCACGCAATGTATGTCAATGGTGAATTTCATATATTTTGAGCTATGCTTCCAAAAAATAAATCTGAAATGCCTATCGTATATTTGAGATTTGCATAGTAGTATATTTTTGGAGATTTTCTAAAGGATGAGAATTCAATGTTTTTGAGTCATACTGACTAGTTATATCGAGTGTCAGTCGAAATAATCTAGGCAATGTTAATACGAATAGGAATAATACTCTATCTTGTATAATGCAAACTTCTAATGTTCGAAGTTGATCAAAGTATATTCTTTGGAATTTGTTCAATGTACATTATTATAGTTTTAAGTGAATTAGATTTGGAAATAGATCAGGTTTTATTCGTTCACCGTTGTTAAGACGTTATTGATAAAGGTGCGATAAAACTTAGTTGTAACGAGATGGAATAGTAAAATCAGTATCACACGTGAGCAAACGAGAATTCTTTAGTGTAGATAAGTGTGATAGGACTAACTTCATTAAGTCAGAATCAGGTTCAATCAATGTTAGTGATTGAAGGTTTATGAATTCTGATAGTTGAATATAACTAAGATGATACTTACTTCTATACCATGTTTCCTAGTTATCCGATAGTATGAATGAAATGAGTTCTAAGAATTTTTCGCAACTCAAGTCTATAGTATGGATATGAATGTAGTATATCATTTAAACGTTGATTCAAATTGCAAAAAAACCAGAGCAATATCATGACCTTTGAAGTAGTCGAAGATTTCATACAGTAGCTCCACTGAGAGATGATTGAAGGATGATTTGTACATGATCGAATGGCTCATGTAATCAATCAAGATGAATGAATTTTCAGAGAATTATGCATACAATACTACTTTTTGCTCGTTTGAATCACATGGTAAAGTATTCTGCAACATGAATAGAAAAAGAAGAACAGAACGTTATTAACAGAGTGAAGGTCAAAGAATGCATTTCATGTCATGCAGGAGGAGAGAGAACATTAGTTTTCTATATGTAGAACAGTAAATGTTTCAAGGAATTCACACTTTCCCTATAGATCGAGCTTTCAATCAGAAGTTTTTCAATCTGAAATGCAATCAATTACAATAAAAGGCTAATTCAATAACAGATTTTTGTTATGCAGATATTTACACGTGCGTTTCTCTAGTTTTGGACATAAAATGTTTTTGTAGGTAAAATGATTGTAAACGTGTTTTTTTCTTTTTCTTTATCGTAATTCAGTTTTTTGCTAACGTAAGACATGCTGTTTCGTACGACTCATGCAATGACATCCAATACAGACAGAGTCATACGCCTTGGCAGGTTAGATGCATGAAGAAGAATAGAAATGATAATAATAGATAAGTAGCTTTATCAATTCATCAATAGAATCTGGTGAAAAATTTTATTTAAATGTAATCATAGGTTTTTTACATCACTATTTCTTGTTTAAAAGATCTTCTAATTAATTTTAATAGCTGTGAGAGGGTCCTATTATTTTCAAGAGTTACGATACGTTGAAGAAACATGTATACCATGAACTTTGAATTAATAGTATTTAATATTACCGATCGAATTCATTTGGATGTTGCAAAGAACTACCTCGATCTTCGTGTAATATTGCTTTCAACAATCGTATGTTTTAGTTGTGTAATACTATGTAATAGTACGTAGTGATGGGCCTAAGGAAGAAGCAACTGATCTAAATCAGAGGAATCCTTCTATTGAGTCAAAATTGAATCAAACTTAATAGTTTTATTCATTTAATATTTGAGTATATTCAAAATATTTGACTAGGGTGTGGATGTGAGTCTTTACTACTACATTCGCACTCACCCACACCAAAATAGAAGCTGAGACTAGAAAAGAAAACAGTGCTAACAAATAATATTTTCGCTACAAAAAAACGATGATGTCACAAATTCAAAAGCACCGAAATAAACAAAACCACCAATCGAGATCCACGTAGTACGAGGAACAACACCACTATATAAACTTAATATAAGAAAAAGGTTTTTTCTTTTGTATTTCATTAGTTTATTTGAAGACAACTTACGCTGGAAAACCTTCAGTTTTGAGAATGTTTATAATTATTCGTAAGAAATGAGAACTGGCATCAGGATGAGAATGCTAAGAAAATAAAGATAAAATAAAAATATTCAATTATTCTATTGAATAATTACATGTGCAAGTATTATTCGAGTTTTAGCGGCATCTAAAAAAATCAAAGTTCATTTTCTTTAAAAAAAGACGCATTTCAATCAATCTACCTAATGGAGTTGTAATTGATGCAGCTAATCCACCGGCTAAAGATCCACATAAAGCTCCTTGCCATGGAGATACTTGATAACCTTGTTTTTTGCTTTGATATTCCTATTTTTATTTTTTTGCAATAAAAACTAACAAAAGAACAAATTCTAAAACAAACTTTAAAAAATTCCCAGAGTGGATATTGAATCATTGAAAATGGAATTTCCCTTGCTAAAGTTGCAAAATATCCTCTGTAAAGACCTGATAAACCCTTCGAAAAAAAAAACAAATCATTTAATTATAATTGATTTGAAAAAGAAAACAATTCCTACTTCATTTCGAAGACATGATCGAGCAATTGTTGACAAACGTAAATTTCGATTAACTTGTGCTCGTTGTTTAATAACTTCAGTAGGAACACGGACAAGACATGCACACTAAATAGACAATATTTCGAAAGTATTTCCTTCAAGTATTTTGTGTTTTTCTTTCTATACAGTTTCTCCAAAAGCAGCAGCTATCATAGGAACTTGACTGGAATATGATACATTTAAAGTTTGTTTTGTTAAATTATACGAAAGAAAAAATAATGCTGATGATGGACCACTACCGATCATTACAGAACCAACACCGGAATATAATGATGAAAATAAAAATCTTCCCTGAAGATTTTTTTTTTGTTGAAGTCGAGTTTTTATTGTATCGATTGGATATAATAACAAATCAACTGCACATCCCGCAAGCAATCCAGTCTTAAAGAACATTTTAATATAAAATAGATAATTTACTTTCTTTTTTAAATTAAATGAACATACTATTAATGAACGTTCGATTGTTTGAGATAGGTCAATTTCTGTCATATTGAAGACTTTAAATAACGAATAAAGATTTTTGTAATATAAATAGCAGATATGTGAAAAATTTCAGTACATGATCAGATTCATCTAGTGTATTGTGCAAACCAATCACGGAATGTATTATATGAATATATGCAAATTGTTTGCGCAACTTCATTAATATATGTTGTAAGGATCAGATTATAATGAGAAGTGACGTAGTATCTATGAGGTAATGTTGAATCACCTTGTTTGGTTTGCTCAAATAACCAATCATTTATTATTATTACATATAGAATGAGACTAATAATTAATCAATAATTGGCAGTTAAATGTAGAAATTAGAAAATAAGAGAAAGGTCGTATGATCAATTGAAAAAACAATTACTGTCAAAAAAATCTAAATTTCTTGCTAATCTTGTTAGTGTGAGACTATTGATTTTTAGCGACATCGTTATTGTTAGTTACTTTATATATTTTCTTTTGATCAAGGAGTAAGTTAGCTTCTCAAAACTTCGTAACATCAATTTTAATCATAGAGTCCGCTTCTCAACGAGAAACAATTCTAATCTATGTCTTAAACATGTACGTATAGGACCGTTAATTTCTATTTCTCAACTGTCACCAACTTATTTTCTATCACGTACACAATTTAATATTAATTCGGTTGAAAACGACAATTTGAGTGAAATCGAGGGTGTAACTGAGGTGAGTGTGAGTGTGAATCTTGTCTTCATTCATTCCTACTCTCACCTAACCACACCCCCACCCCCACCCACCCTTCGTAATTGATACAAATTAAATGCCATCAATATCAATATAATGACAAAAATAATACTTTTGATGATATTATATGGTAAACAATAATTTTGAATAAAGAAACAAAGTATCCATATATATGATGGGTGCTGATGTTGCCAATACTATGAAAAGAATAATGAATAATATTGATATTTGCAAATATTTTTGCACGAGATTTTATTTCGAGAAAATTCTTATCGAATAGAGTCAAAAATCTTTAATAACGACACGAAAAAATTCACTTGTTTTGTTTGATTTGGTGTATAACCACTTCACAGTCGATTGAAAATATTTTTATATATACATGATCGTTGGAGTCTGCGCTTTCGAATGGTATAACTGCGACCTTTTCTCTTAAATGTTAGAATGAAGAAATCAGCGGTCTACGATTATGAACTGCATCTGTCGTTATTAGAGGTACTTTCCCTAATTTCGACATTAAGCCAAATTTTGTCTCTAATAACGACACTCTAGCAAAATTCCAGTAAAAAAATTATCTTTTGAGAAAAATACATTATCTACGTTTTCTGTTCAGAAAACAAGCAAAGATCTCACTGAGAATTTTGTAGAGCGTGTCGAATTCTATCATAATCTAAAGGTTCATGAGAAATCAATTTTGTCTTAGAGAAATACATAACTTCAAGCGAAGACATCCAACATCGATCAAAAACTAGGTGACCCTAATGACGACACCCAGCTAATTTTTATCCCTAATAACGACATTAAGCCATTTTTTGTCCCTAATGACGACACCAATCTAATATTCTACCTTAATAACGACAGGGTGTGGGTGTGAGTGCAGTGTGAGTAAACAGCATCTACACCCATACCCATACCCACGCCCTACACCCACCCACACCCACACTCCACACCCATCGCGATTTTTAAAGATACTGACGGTTAATCGCGACTAATTGGCGGTTTTTTTTCATAATCGCGATTTTTCAGAATATTAACGATGAATCGCGATTTTCCAAAATACTGACGATTAATCGCGATCAATCGGCAACTTTTTTCTAAGAATCGCGATTAATCGTTAATATTTTGAAAAATTGCGATTAATCGTGAAAACTTAGGCAATTTTGACGACATGGAATATTAAGCAAATCGAATTCTTTATTGACTCCCTCGAATAGTATAACTTTCTCTTAAATTTTAACCAAATTTCATATGGACAACGGATAAGTGTTGCGCCTTTTTTTGTAAAAATGATTTGAGAAAAAGATGTCTTAGCGTCGTTTCTTTCAACAAGTGAAAATCGCAGATCTCTAGCTCTTTCTCGTTTTTGTGTTATTGTGGGCAGTATAAATGTAGCGTACATATATTTATAAGAATTATTCCAGATGTGATAAACATGTATCTTAATGTTTATACTCATAAATATAATTAATATTCATTTCTTCAACCAATCAAAACTAAGATTACAAATATCTTATCGAGTATGGGAAATATTTGCGTTTTAGTGAACTTCTGTTAACTAATGGCATAACCAGAATAAAAAAAAGTCGACTTTCTTAACATCGAAGATTTTTAAGAAAAATTAATTTACACTTTATGTTAGGAATATTTACAAGATCCAATAAAGAATTGCTTAAAAAAAGATACATGTATTTTTCTAGTCTTAGCACTTGCATCAAAAAGCGAAACACAAAAAGTTTGTAGTAAAAAAAATATTTGTTTCTTAATTTCTAAGAAAAATTTGTTTTTATAGTTTGGTATAACAAAAACAAGTTCATTTATAAGTATTCCAGCATTTTATGCAAGTAGTATATCCCTAGTCGAGATTCCCTGGAAGAATCCTGAGGGAATCCCTGCCGTGGGTCCCTGGGGGAGTTAAGAGGGGATCCAGGGACTTCGTGGGAACTTCCCAGGGAGTTAATGAGTATTATCAAGGTCTCTCTAGAATCCACCATTGGAACGCTCTAAAAAGTTCAAATTTATGAAAATTTTCGAGAGACTTCATAAAATTTGGGGACTCCTCCGGAAGGTTTAGGGAATTCCTGAGATATGCAACTCCACCACGAACTCACGACAGAGATTCTCCAGGGATTTCGCATTTTTCATGGGACTCCCCGGTGATTTCGTTGGAGAGAGTCGACTAGGGCTTACCAGAACTTCAAAATCAAGATAGTATGTGAATTATTTTATTAATTCTATACAAAACAATTTTCTTTTTCATCTAAATTTTAGTTAATAGTCTACCATTAATTAAAGCTGATTGTTTAAAATTTTTACTTGATGTTAGAAATCAAATTGATCGTCATGTATTACTTATTTCAGTACCTGAATGTGTTCGATATTTGTCATCGAATAATATTGTTGTACAAACATATGCAGCACATGCTATTGAACGTTTATTACTTGTACGACTTTCGACTTTGATCCAAAATTTGCAGCATAAGAAAAATCGAATAATTCAATTTATATATGTTTTCTTTTTTTTGTTTATAGAATAACAAAAAATGATTTAATTCCTCATGTTCAAACAATGTATGATACTTTCTTTCGAATTTTAATATCGGATAAATCATATGAAAATGAATATGTTATGCGAACTGTTATGAGATTATCATCATCACTGAATGATGTTGTTCTACCTTATTTAAATCATTTAATGGAAAAATTAGTTATGATTTTACGACGATCGTGTAAAGTAAGATAGTTTAATTTGTGTATAAATAGAACTCATCGAAACTAGTTTTAATGTAAGAAACTTCGAGGTTTTTTGAGATAGAAAGCTTACAAGAGTATAGAACTTATGTTAAAAAAATACAGTAAATCGTTGATAGCAGAGATACGCCCGATTTGAAATAATGTACACTATATCGTTCGTCGTTTTCCAACCGGTAATTTACAGCTGGGATGCGATTGGACCTATATTTCAATCATTTTTCATATGTTTTATCAAAAATATTGAAAAAGTTTCACAAAATTTGACTGTATCCTGAGGGGAAGTACAGGAATTTTCGCACCGCTACCGATCATCACTTTTCGCACAAAATATCAGCAGAGAGAATAGATGTTTCTTGGAGGTAAAGCATAAATATTTGAGGTATGGCTCGACGTACAAAATCTGAATTTTAGAGGAAGTAATTGTAAAGTTCAGAAAACAAAATCCTATATGAGAATTTCGAAAATTTGTAATCGAAGGTGAGAAAAAATTAACAAACCAAGATTTTGAACAGAAATAATGCAGAAAAAAATCGTCTATTTTTGCAATTTTTTTTATCGAAAATCCTTTATTTTAGAAGAACTTAATCCTATAAGGATTCCTATTTTTTTTTTAAAAACTCGTAATCGGAGGCCGTCTAGTAGTAGCCTTTTATTCAATGAGAGAGCGATGAATTTTGAAATCATTTCAAAATTATTATAAGATTGATTTCTAAATATGTCCAGTAGCAAAAATGATGATACTATCTTTTTAGAATCTAAATAAACCAAATTTTAATCATATTTATTTGAAACAATAACTGTCTTAATCCGTACAAGTGTATCAAAAAATCCTGGTCTACTTGATCAATTTGCACAAATACTTTTTCCTGTATTTACACCAATATTTACAGAAGATATTGCTGGTTTGTATCTATCTCTCTGTATATATATAATAATTATTTGAATATATTTTTGTTTAATATAGAATTTGTTCCATATGTATTACAAATAATTGGATTTATATTAGAATCTCGTTCATCAGGATCAATATCAATAGCTGATGCATATCGAGCATTATTTCAATTAATACTTACACTATCATTTTGGGATCGTAGTGGAAATATTCCGGCATTATCAAGACTTTTACAAACATATATTGAAAAAGCAGGAGAAACAATTGTTCTTGAAAAATTAGTAAGTCTATTCTATAGTTTATATTTTTTTTACATTAAAATTTAAATAGACAACTATACTCGGTGTATTTCAACATCTTGTTTCTCAATCAAAAGTTCATGATCATGAAGGTTTTGCAATATTAAATTCATTAATTATTAATTTACCAGCTACATATTTAAATAATTATTTAAAAGATATATTTATTGTTATATTTACTCGTTTAACAAAAGCTAAAATACAAAAATTAATATGATGTATTATTGTTTTCTTTTCATATTTTATTATTAAATATGGTGCAAAAGAATTTATGACACAAGTTGATTCAATTCAAACAAAGTAATTTAATTTTTTTTCATTTATAATAATAAAAAAAAATTTCTTTTTAGTATGTTTCAAATGGTTATTGAAAGTTTATTTGTTCAAGAATTATCAAAAGTTGATGATAATGATAAAAAGATTTGTGCTGTTGCAGAAATACATTTATGATGTGATCCTGAACAAATGATAAATGGAATTTATTTTAATAAATTATGGTTAACATTATTAAGCATTACTTAATTTATTTCAATCAAGTAATGAATTACATCTAATGACAGCTACTGAAAGAAAACAACAAGTATAAGATGAAACTAAAGAAGAATTACTTGTTGGATTTGATGATACACCAGGTTATTATTATTATATATAATTATTTCACTTAGGAAATTATTAATAGACTAAAATTAAAATAAAGGATTATTTAAGAGTTTTTACATTGAATAAGTGTGAGATGTGAATTTTTCAAAATTGATATTGTGTATGGCATAGAAACTTTAGTAAAATCCATATGTTATTATCAGAACAGATTTATTTTTTGATCAGCATGATTCTTTTTAATACTTTTCTTAAGGACATGAGTCATCAGTAGTAAAAATATTAGTCTATTTAGTCAATCGGCTTTTTTTCTACAATGTATTTTTCAAATCAATTTTTTCTGCTGAATCCATAGACCAAGATGACTAAATTACGAAAACTAAGTTCATGTTTTCATGATTTTTAATGAACTCTTAATATGATATTCATGATTAAAAACCTATTCTCTATTCATATATATCATTTGTTTCAAAAAATCTTTAAAAAGAATGTGTTTAATATAGAAACGTATTTCATTTGATCGTCTCATAGGTCTAGTTAATGAACTGGGATTGAATGAGAAATGATAGAGATCGAGTCGGAAGTTTGGGAAAGATTGAAAAAAAAAGCAATTTTTGATCAGGCATACCTTATTTTTAGCTTACACACCGACATTTTCACGTTTGACATTTGCTAAAAAGCCTCATACGGAATTATTTGGTACAAGTATTCCTGATGCACGATGTCATTTAGCTAAATGTTTACAAATATTAACAAGTTCTCATCCAAATCAAGTTTGTTTTCTACATTGAATAAAAATTTCTTTTTATCTTGATAATATTTTTAGTTTCTAAGTGTTATAACAAATGGTTTATCAACAGAACAATTATTAGACATACAAAAATATTGTGCTTTAGCAAAAGTTACACTTACATAAATATATAGTTTTCTTTTTTCAGTATCTTTAAAGATAAAATAATGAATCGAAGTTCTCAATCGAATTTAAATATTCAAACAATAGATCAATCACTATCGACTACATCAATAGTATTGACTCAGGTCGATCAAGAGCAAGTACAAATCTTAGTTCGACTAGTAGTCATAGAAGAAAAGGAATCTTAGGAAAAGTCGAAACTAGTTTTCGATCAGTATTTCGACGATTTTCTCGAACATGTACATCATTAACTGGAATAGATATTCAGCTATTGTCAACAACAACCGGTTATACTCGAGAAGAAGTTTTACAATGATAAAAATAAAATCAAATATTTTTCTTGAATAGTTGATGAAGATACATTCTTTACTGAAAAGTACAGATTTTTTTATCAATCGTATGATAAAATTGTGAGCGTAATCTCTATGAGGTCAAAATGTGAAACACAATTCAGTTGATATTACTAATCGAAAGAAGATTCTTTTATTCTATCTATTTTAGGATACACTTCTTCACCACTGAGAATTAATGCTATATTCTGAGAAGCCAGTTCTATCGATGTAAACTACAGTACAAAAGAGCTTTTGAGAAAATACAAGAGCTGATTAGCGAACTTTTAAAATTTTTTTCGATCAAAAATTATCAACATACATTGACTGACGAGAGAGCCTTTCTACTTGTCAATAACAGTTTTTGAAATCTTCGTTGTTGAGATATTTTGAAAAAAATTGACTTCAAACTTGGCATAAACAAAATTCTTAATGAAATTACTTGATTGTGCAATTTTTAGCAAAACATCATTAGAGTTATCATCAGTAGAATATTGAACTGAAATTTATTATTTGAAAGATCTATAAATATACTGATTATATTAAAAATTGATATTCCTTAATTATATAGGCGTTTGATCAGCTCAATATTTTACTGATGATGACTTCTGGTATAGATCGAAAACTTTAGTGATGTACACAATTATATTGATTTATCATAATTTACTATTTTTTCTGTTACTCACTAGTAGTATCATCTTGGTCAAAAAACGATTTGACACCTGAATAGGTTTCCTCGTAAACCCTAGATCATGAAAAAAATAAGGATCTATGGATACCTCAGAAATTTAATCAAAAGTATTCTGAGTTGAAGATAAACGAACTAAAATAATAAATTTAAATTTAGGCATGAAAAATTCTTAATTGATTATCCAAATGGTAATATGACTCGTAAACAATTTATATCAATTTATAAATCTTTATTTCCTAAAGGTGATGCTGAACGTTTTTCTCGTCATATATTTCGTGGATTTGATCTTGATAATTCACATACAATTGATTTTCATGAATTTTTTATTGGTTTATCATTAATATCAGCAACAAATTCAATAAAAACAAAACTTGAATGGACATTTAATGTTTTTGATATTGATGGAAATGGTTTATTAACACGATGTGAATGTTTAGAAGTTATTGATGCTATTGTTCGATGTTATTTATCAACACAAAATAATACAATAAATTCAAATAATGAACAAATAATTTATGAAACTAAAAGATCAATGATGAATATATTTGATAATATTAGCCATAATCCGACTGATAAATTAACTAAATCACAATTTGTTGAAGGTTGTTCAAAAGATCCATTTATTTCACAATTATTAGCACCAACAACAAATACAGTATTAATAAATACGCAAGATACAAATAATAATCAGTCGAATGATTCATGACATTGTTATAGAGATTTTTTTTTCAGTTTGCTTGTCTTCCCAAACTCTTGCATTTCTTTTTATAGATTTTTGCATCTTTAGAATTCAGATGAAGTTTTCTTTCATTTATTTATGTTGCAATGAACTATTCATCTTGTTTTTGTATTTGTACAGTGAAACAAAAATTTGCATGTATTATTGTTGAAAATAAATCATTATTTATGTGTGACAATCAAAAGATCAATTCTATTTTATGACCTTCAAAAAGGATAAAACATATCAATTTTTATGCTTTGATCTCATTTATAGTATCAACAGGACTATTCTAAGTTCTCCAAGACCGGATTTGAATGAACTCTCTTTCGCTAGGAATACTCTTGTGTCGTTATCAAGATCACTATAGCATACTTATTAACAATCGAGAATGACAGAAAATTTGTGTTATAAGCAGACAAGAGAGCATAAGTTTTTCTTCTACTTGATTAAAATTTTGAACTAGAATTCATGAATTTTAAGAATGTGACAAATCAAATTATCTTTTTTTTACTAATAAATACTATTTTTACGAAACAAGAAAATAAGACTACACCTGTCGACAACTAACAGAAACTTTGGTCTAGAAAACTTATTTATAATATTCCTATAGATGCTAATGATTTAAATAGAAAACTAATTATTGCTCCGTCATGCAATTATAACATATTACAAATACTTTCAAGCATAAAAAAAA